AGCTGAGAAGATGCCGGAGTTCGGAGAATGAACACTTGGAGATACACCTCTTCTGTGAGGATAGGGGTGCTCGTGGGAGGGATGACAATGGGCTCTCATATGCTCATTGGGAAACATTGAAGATCATTGGAAAACATTTATTTTTATAGATTATTTTTTTTCAATGTTTTTCAATGTTTTTCAATGTTGAGACTGATACTTGGCCTCCTAGGGTCTCATCTGACTGTGATGGTGATTAAAGAGGGTTGAGTAAGAAAGAAACAGTAAAGAAAGAGAGAGGTTTCACCTTTGTAATCTTGTGGCCTGGGTGCTGGTTCAGGGACATGATCTGGACCACAGCCATTGGCACAAACTTGCCTCTGAGTGAGTGCTGGCCTCTGGGGGAGTGCCAGTGCTGGCCTCTGAGTTTGTGCTGGCCATGGCTTCTCAGTCCAGGGCTGGCAAGATGAGGAAGATGATTCTAAGTTGCAATGTTGGGTGGGTCAAAAGCTGAAACTAAGAAATGTGGTATGTGAGGCAGGTGAAAACAGAAAAGGTGGAAAAACCCCTGTCAATGAATGGAGAAAAGGTGAAAACAGAATGTGATGGAACAAATCAATGAAGAGAAGCAAACAGGTAAGAAAAGAGAGAGGCAAAGTCCCAGAGAGAGAGAGAGAGAGAGTCAGAGTCAAACAGACTGGGGCCACACAAATAATTTGGGTTTGTAGTTTATCTAAATGGTGACCTCTCAGCCAATGGTTTTTTTCTTTGCATTTTCCCAGGGGTCTCCATATTTCCAATGCTACTATCCATTTCATGGGGCCTACTATACAGACAGTCTTTCTCTTCAACAACTCATAGCGCTGATCACACCTGAGGCCATCTATATCCCCAAAAACTGATGGCCAGCAAATGCCACTTGGCCACTTCACTGGCTTGGGTTGGCAGGGCCTGTGCTGTATGCATACTGTAACTCATTTTGTTGGCATGAGAGAACAACAGCTTTGGTGTTAACTGTTGAGTCAGCAAAGTGTTGGGTTTGGTCCCTGTCCCAGTCTTCAACCTGAGGCAAGGTGGCGCTGTGGCCATGGGTAGTGATGGGGGCATGGGTGGCATGTGTATGGGTGGCTGCAACATGGGTGGCTGCAACATGGGTGGCCAGATGCACCTTGGAAAGGGAACAATGACAGGGGAGCTTAACATCAACAAAGTGTTTTAGTTTTGTGTGCAAGCCCAGTGAAGTACCCAGGCAACAACCTGGATACAACATGGCTGGCAACCAGCAGCAGCAGCATCCATCATATGGAATGACTGGAGGGCAGCCTGGTTGGCAAAAAGGGCCTGCCACTGAATGTGTGTGTTGTTTATGAACCATTTGGCCTCACACTTGAGGCAATGCCAAGGGTACATGCAACAGCCACAGATGCAGATGGGGTTCCTGGGCTGGAATGAAGGGCTGGAATGATGGCCTCACCTATGTGTGGTTGCATCACCTCACAACCATTTTCTTTGTCAGGTGGTTGTTTATCCTCATGAGTCATGTTTTCCTGGGACTGTTTTTTCTCAGGAACTTTGGCCAGCCTGGCCAAATGGTGGCAAGGCAGTTGAGCTTTGGCCAGAACTTGATGCCTGGTCGCTCTACTGAGATGCTTGATGATGAGCTGGATGAGCCTGATGAAAGGAGCCCCTTGGCTGCCTTCACACTTAGCTTACAAGTGGTGTGGATTGTGAAGGCTCAATTTATCATAAGTGGATTGGGGGTGTGAACTATTGTGCACTCTTGGATGGTGCCAAGGTGGCAGTTCCTCAAGGTGCCTTGGCTCAAACTTGTTGGTTCAAATGACTTTTGGATGTGTTTCCATGCAGAAACCTGACTGCAGCTGCTCTTTCATGTCCAGGAGATCTAGGAGGAGGACTCGACATGGTAGGTCCAAGAGGGGGGAGGTCCAAATCCAGGAGGAGAAGCTCATCCAACAAGAGGGGGAGGAGGGACAAAAAAGGCACAAACCAGAGTTCTTGTTACTGTTGGGGGTTGTTTGTCCCATGGTTTTTTGGCACTACAAATCCACAATTGCTCCCATTGGCAGACCTGTGCTCTGCAGGCCAGCCCAAGAACAGAGATGATGAAAGCACAGATGCTGAGAGTGCCTTTGGTTTGGCACAATACAAACCTACTACTGAATTCACTTGCAAAGCTGTGCACTTCAGCCTGTTTTGTCAAAACAATCAGCATGCACTGAAACTCAACATACTGTATATTAATATACACACTAAATACCTATTTTGTGAGGTGAAGTATTGGACAGTCGACCAGTACCTCAAGTTGCTTTAGCAAAGACCAAGAAGAACAAGTCCAATGTGTTCCCAAGGACATTGCCTTTGAGTGTTGTTGTATTTTTTGCAGATGCAGCCCCTCCAAAATGGAGATAGTCTGGGAATCTTTGTGCAACATACACCATGCTAACAGTTCAAGTGAAACTTATCTTGATGTGTTAATGTTCTTGAATGGTGCCAGAAACTGTTTGTGAACAACCATGCCAACTTTGAATGCAGGAGGGACCAGCTGAGATTCTTGGGATGGCTGGACCCTGTCAAGTTCACAGCAGCTGCAAGAGGCTGTCTGACAGATGAGCAGGTCGGCATGAGCTTTTGGGTTTGTGCAGGACTACCTCCCTACTTGAGGCTTAAGGATTTCAGGGCATCAAACAGAGGTGAGCTGTGCCTTACTTGAACCAGAAGTTTTTGTAATTCATATGGTGCCCATGGTTTGGTAGAGACTTTTGGGTGCAAGGTCAGGGTTTGCAAACTCATTTTCATGGACCAAACAAGTCTACAGTGAAATTTCAAGCTGGTGTGCATGAACTAGCCTGTCTGTGGTTCAAAGTCAATCCTTTGGCCTTCCTTCAATTCAGCTGACATACACCCAGCACTCAGGAAGCAGAAGTTCATGGAGGAGAAGCAAAAGTTTGTTGCCAGAGTTGGCTCTTGTAGGCTGGATGAGGTGAAGGATGACTTCAGCAATTTGGAAGCTAGGCCTCAAGGACAAGTTCCACCTTTGGAGGTCAAGCCCAATATATTTCTCCCAACAATTATGATTTTATGACAGCTGCTTCAAGCAGGTTCAGTAAAGCATGACAAAACTGTTAGGTGTGAGTTGGGTTTGTCATATGCTGATTGGACAACCCTTTTCCCAAGCAGGTTCACTGGCAAGAACCCTTCAGTTTTGTGGCTGGATTGGTATATTTGGGATGAATGGGCAAACCTTTTTCTCAAGGGCTTATTAAATTGCACATTACAATGCCCTTTGGGTGTGTGTTTGGCCTGACTACTACTGAGGCTTAGTGGCAAGCCTGTTGATCAAACATACCTACTACCACATGGCAAGACCCTTTGGGTGTGTGTGCTTAGTTTCCCCTATAGTGGGGTGCCCAACCATGTTCACATATGTCACCCTTCATTGCTCTTGAACCACAGGGGAAGAAACACCTGGTCCAACCAAGGAGGCTGTGGCCATCAAGTATGGATGGGATGATGTCTACCAGCACAAGCAGGTGCATGCCCTCTGGCTTACAAAACTCTAAAGGTACTTTTCATGGGTTTCTTTTCTGGTTTCCAGTGCACTGCTAAGCCTACTCAGGCTCAGATTTCAGCCCTAGCAGCTCCACCTCCAGACTTTCTGGTTTCCAATGCACTGCTAAGCCTACTCAGGCTCAGATTTCAGCCCCAGCAGCTCCACCTCCAGACTTGAGACAGCTCTACTGGATTGAGTCCAGCAAGTCTGGTGACCATTGGCTTTTCTACAAAGATGGCCACCTGGTTGGAAGCAAGGGTTTGCAAGAGTGTGGGTAGGTGCATTTGGGTTTGTTTTGTTGACATGGTGGTGTCTAACCATTCACTGGTACTGTTTTTGGGCTGTGCTAACCATGTGGGTGGGCCTTGTCATATTTTTTTGGTGTCTCCAACATTTGAGGGGTAGAATTTACAAGGTTGTGTCTAACCCTTCAAGCCTTCACTGATCCTGTTTTTTGAACTGTGCTAGGGCCTTGTCACATTGGTTTGTTTCTTTAGGGGGGGAACTCAAAAGGCAATGGGTGCACAGAGTTTGGGAACTGAGGTGGCCCACCCAAATTCATTGCTCCAGCCAATGTGCCCTTCACCAAGATTTACAGGAATGGCAAATTCATGCTTCAGGGGCCTGGACCAGAGCCATTTGCTTTGGAAGAGCAGTACAAGAATCCTGAGTGCTATGATGCCTGGGTGGGATCATTGGCCCTCTGACTGGTGTGGGTTTGTTACATCTCTTTTGTGTTTTGCCACAGTCAACCATAAAAGGTGTGTTACTTATACCCCCAAAGGGCCAATATGCAGCAGTTTCTTCATTATAGGGGCTTTGTTGTTTACAATGTGTGTTGGGTGTTCAGTGTTCAGATGCTTTTGGTTATTGTGCAATTTCTATCTAAGTTTCTAAGTTAGCAAGGGTTGCACAGCCAAGCCAGGTTAAAGCAGCACAGGAGAACCCAGGCCAGGATTGGGCACACACAGTTCAGAACCTGAGCAGCATCAGCCCATATCAGCCTAAAGAGACAAAACAAGAAAGCATCAATGCATTTCTGGTGGCAAGAAACTCAGCCTCAGCATCAGGACTCAAACATAGCTTGCAGGAACAAAGCAACACAAACCCTTGGCAAAAGCACAATACAAACACACCACAAGGGCATGGTGTGCACCAAAGGCAAAACATTGACCAACAACAGCCTATCCAGCAGCCAGCGCAGCCAGCACAGCTTGCCCAGCAAAGGCAATCTGTGACGCACAACCAGCAGCCAGCACACACCATGCAGCCATCCAGCCAGCCTGGCAACTTATGGCAGGGCTTTGTGCAAGCCCCACCCAACAAGCCTCCCAACCAAGACCCATCCAACCAAAGCAATCCAAGTGGTGGATTTGCAAACCAAGGCTTTGCACCATCTTCTGCTTCACCCCAACCCAACCAATTGCATGGCTTTAGCCTGCCAATGGATGGACAGCAAGGTCATGGGCATGGCACCAGCCAAGGCACAGGCAACCAATCAGCCCTGCCCAATGCCAAGCGGTGCAACCCCATGGGTGGACAAGGTGGTTACAGCAAGCAGCAGATTCAGCAAATGGGTGGCATTGCAAGTGGTGTTGGTGGTGGCCCAAACCAAGGCCATGGCTTCAACCCATCAATCCAGTCCACTGGCAATGCTCAGAACAACCCCATGGATGGGCAAGGTTGCAATATGGGTGGGGGTGGGTGCTTCACAGGGGGGTGGAGCCAAGCACATCCCAGCCAAGGGCACATGATCATGGTGTCACAACATGGGCAACATGTCACCAACCTCAGCCAAGGCACTTCCTCCCAATGGGGAATGCAAGGCACTGGCTTTGGCCTACATGCCTCTAACCAACCAGGCAATGCTTTCAACCAAGCTCAGCCCATTTTTGGGGGGGAACCAGAATGGCACCAACCAGAATGGCACCAACCAAGGCCCAAACCAGTCCAATGCCAACCACCAGAGCAACCCCATGGGTGTACAAGGTGGCAACCAGCAGCCCATCAGTGGGCAAGGTGGCAACCAGCAGGGTGGGAACCAGCAGTGTGGTGGCAACCAGCAGTATGGGGGCAATGGTGCAACCCACATGGGTGGACAAGGTGGCAACCAGCAGGATGGGGGTGGTGCA